AATGTTGAAATTTATATGCAGCCATAAAAGGCCTCAATTACCTAAAGCAGTCATGACAGAAAAGGAAAAGGAGAGAAATGGAGGCATCGCGTTACCTGATATTAAGCTGTACTATAAAGCAACAGTATTTAAAGCAATAATGGAATAAGGGATGGTGGTGGGGAAAAGTTTAATTTACTATCCTTCTCTTCCACACCCCTCATATTAGTCTAAAATGGGCAGACACTTATCTCTTTCCTGTCCTGCAGTATGTATAGTGTCCAGAGCAATGGCTGTCATGAAGTTGGTGCTCATTAAATGTTTGTTCAATGAATAAATAAATTCTTTGTGTTCTAGAACTCAGGCAGTACTTTTGCCCTTCCTCTTGGTTCTCATGGACATAGATCCTGCACTGAATTCCTCTTATACTTTAACACCAACTTCAACTTTTATGTTAATGTTTGCATATCTTGTCTCTCCAGTGAGGCTCGGACTGTACCTTATCTTGGCTCAGAAAGTCTAACATATAGTAAGAGTAAGCAAATGCTCATAAAATTAATTTAAAAGTAAACCAATGGCAGCTTCTTAATCTATATTAATCTATATATATTGTTGAGTCATAAGTCCTTTAGTGCATTCAACAAATTTATTCAATACATACTTGCTGAATATGTACTACAACTCAGTTACTATTTAAGGATATAACAATAAACAAAGTAGGCAATATCCCTGCTCTCATGAAAATATAGCATAGTGAGGAGAGACAAAAATAAGCAAATATACACATTATTTCATAACTGCCATGAGAACAATAAAACAGGGTAAGCAGAGTAGGGAGTTCTGGTGTAGAGGTTGTAGGGATTGCTACTTCATACAGTGTTGGCTTCAAACTTGTGTGGCTGAAGGAGCAAGTTCTGTGGATTTCTGGTAGGAGAGCATTCCAGGAAGAAGGAATAAAAGTTCAAAGGCCCTGAAACAGATGTAGTTTTATTGTTTTTGAAGAAACTGCATGAAAAAAAAAAAAAAAGAAAAGAAACTATGGCTGTAATACTGAGGCCAGTAGATGAATCAAAGTATAAAATTCCTTAAGAATATTAAATAGTCTGAATTTGACTTCGAGCCACTGGAGGGTTTTGTATAGGGGATAACTGGTTGACGTGTAGAATTAGAGGTGTGTGTCATGGATTGAAGTACTGATGCCAGTTGGGGCGGGTCTTGGAATAATCCAGGTGATGCTGGCCTAGACCATGGTGGTACTGGAGGAGGACAAGGGATGATAATTAATTTGATCCTGGATGTACTTTTTAAAAAAAAAAAAATTATACAAGAGCTGGGGTACAGGTCAGAGGCGTGGGAGGATGAGAGGATTCAGCACAGAAAGAGCAGGGAGCACAACAGGCAGACAGACTGAAAGCTCTGCTGAGAGGAGCAGCGGGCTAGAAAGGAGAGGTCTGCTGCGCCATGTGGCTATCTCCCAGCTGTCCAGGAATCGAACCTATGCTGCAGAGGCTGCGGACAGCTTCACAGCGCTGCGCTCAACCCGCTGTGCCATCGGGGAGGCCCGATCCTGGATGTATTTTGAGGATAGATCTGATAGGATCTGCTTTTGGTTTAGATGTGGGTATGAGAGAAAAAGAAGAGTCAAATTTTTAGGTAATATTTTGGTGGTAGTGATGCCATTAACTGAAAGCAGAGAAAATATGGTGGCATTATTTTGTTTTGTCTATTGCGGGATGAAGATTTCTTGTATAATCAATTCCTGTTGGACATACTAAGTTTGAGGTGCCTGACAATATCTGAGTGTGACAGTCAAAATTGAGCATTGTCAATGTATAAATAATTTTTAAGACTTGAATAAGATCACCCAAGAAATGAGTACAGAAGAGAAAATCCTCTGACCGAACCCTTGGGGACTCCAGGATTTGGAGGAGATATCAGCAGAAGAGACAGTGAAACACATCAGCTGGCATAAGAAGAAAGCCAAGAGTGTTCTGAGGCTAGGAGTTGAAAGTGTAACAAGAATTACCATTTATGTCTGTTAAGTTTTTTTTTTTGAGAGAGGGAGAAATTTTTTTTTTTTTTTTTTTTTAAAGATTTATTTATTTATTTATTTATACAAGCACTGGGTACAGTCAGAGAAGCGCGGGAGGGTGAGAGAATTCACCAGAGTGGGGAACAGAACAGACTGACTGACAAAATACGCTGCTGAGGGGAGCAGTGCGCATGTCAGGAGAGGTCTGCGCACCAAGTGGGACCCTTGCTGGTGGCCGGGGATCCAATCGGTGCTGCAGAGGCTGCGGGCAGCTTCGTAACCCAGCTCTCAACTGCTGTGCCACCGGGGGAGGCCCTATGTCTGTTAAGTTTTGACTTTGCAAATTGGAGAACTCAAACTGTTGTCAGTTTTGGAAATACAGTTATGCATTATATGTGGTAGGTGGAGTATTAAGAATGGAATTAAAGATATCTTTACTGTATCATGAACTCGGCATTATTATGAAAAGCCAACAAAATCCATTTATAGACACTACTTATGAAAATTGGGTAATACCTCATATGCAAGCCAAGGGAAAGAAACTGTTCATTAGAAATCTGTTTCTTGGCTTTCTTTTTTAACTATAATACTCAGTGTTTGGTATTTACCACGGTTAAGTCTCAATTACCAGCTAATTTGCAGTTAGGTTCACTAATATCATGTTTAGCATAAGTCTAAATAAATATTAAGAATTTCTTTTACCTCACCCTAATTGAAGTCAGAGAATCCCTCTTAAACTAGCTAACTTCAAAATCAAAGGAAAATTAATATTGCAAATGAATGATTTTATTTGTGCTGACCAGGCTTATCATGAATATATTTTCTGAGTTTTTTAATAGACGTGGTTTTTTGTCATCTTAATTTTGTTTTTTAAAATGATTTTCCAGGTGTATCAATAGAATTCGAAAATAGAATTTCTTAATATCTGCCTCCAGTTTTGCTCTAGAATAATGAATGTATTTTGTATTTGATATATACTGGACCTTTTACTAGCAAATATTGCTGAGTTTGCTGTTGATAATATAACATTACAGAATGTTTTGACAGTATAGGGAATACTACATAATAGAGAAAAAATAGTTTGGGATGTGATTAAAAGGACACAATTATGCTGAACTGTTACATGGTATGAGTTTTTTTTACAGAAACTTTCTCTTTTACTTAAATGTCACTTAGGATTTGAAGCGTTCATTACCAGCTGGACTTGGTCTCTCTGAAACCCAAATTACATCTCATGGTTTTGACAGTACCAAAGAGGGGGTTATTGAAGGAGGAGCATTTCAAGGTAAGAGCCCATATGTTTTTAAAGATGGCTCGTGTAAAGTAAAAATGCTACCTTTATTAATGAAGCATAAAAATTAAGCCCCTTATCCTGTGAGAAAACACTATTATAAATTTAATCCTTTTTCTCTTCAATTTAAATAATTTGCAAATTATTTAAGTCTTCGTTACATAAATAGATCAATAAGCAAAATTTCACTAGTTATTATTTAATAATTGACTTTAAAATACTGAAGTAAAAACTAAAAAATATACATTAAAATGCAGGTTTAGATTATTTTAGTTTGTAACCACAAAACCTATGGCTGTAAGTCAAAATTGATAGTATAAGTATACATTTCAAAAAAATTTGGAAAAGAAAACTTTTCCTACTAATTGTGGTAAACAGGACGGAGGCTTAATAGCCCACTCTCAGATTTGCTAAGAGGACTCTCAGGACTTAGTATATAGTCATATTCCCAGCTATAATTTATTACAGCAAAAGTATGCCATGCACAGTTTAGCAAAGACAAAGGATACTTGAGGCAAAATGGGGGGTTCTCAACATAAACTTCCAAGAGCTTTTTCCCAGGGCAGTAACAAAGGGCATGTTTAATAATTCCCCCCCCACCCCACCCCGCCTCCCCCAGAAGGTAAGCAGCTTGGTGTAAAATGGTTTAGGCAGGGGACTCCCTGGTGGCGCAAGGGGTTAAGCATCACCACTATCAAGCTATCTGCAGCTACTGCAGCACGAGTTGGATGGGGCTAGCCAGGGTGGTGACCTACATGGAGCAGCAGACCTCTCCTATCTTGCCCGCTGCTCCCCTCAGTGTAGATACGACTGTTCTGCTCCCCACTCTGCCTGGTGAATCCTCTCACCCCCCACACCTCTGGCCTGTACCCCAGGTCTTGTATGCATAAATAAGTAGATCTTTTTAAAAAAATAGATTAGGCATAGTAAAACAAGAGTCAATTTTATAAGCTGCTCTTTTTAAGAATAAGTAGTGAGTCCTGTTATGTTCAATTTTGTATATAACATGTATAATGTACATGTCTAAAGTTTTTTTCATTTTCACATTAGTTAACAAAAGTAGAGCTATGTAGACATTTGGGTGTAAAAGGGGCTGGTTTTTAACAACTGTAGTTAAAGTAGTAGCTATAGTTGATATTCCAGGAAGTGTATTACTTTTAATACTGCATTATTTTGCAAAATGAAAAAAATATTTCCATGCCTTTGCAGTCCTTAGCCCGCTTGCAGATAATTGTGTTTTGTATTTTTATTGCACCAAAGGTCAATACTTGATTCAACAACAACTTATATTTTGAAATATATTCTTTACTAAATGGGTCCTGGAAACAGGCATTTAGGATAATCCAGATTAACATCCTCTACTCTAGGCTGTAAAATGGACTGTCTAGTGACATCATTTATCTCCCTTTTATTCTGATGTTCAGAAAAACAAAGCTCTAGAAAGCAAGTATAAGTATAATTTTGCTAGTATAAGTATAATTTAGTATAAGTGTCAGTATCTCAGTAGTCATTGTGTAGCATTGTGACAGTCTTATCTAGGGAATAATTTTGAATTTGAAAGGGTTGACTCAGTGCCAAAAGAGTGCTTGAGGATAGAACTTTGTGAAATGTGACAGCATTTTCACTCATTACCAGTTTCCAAATTTAAACATCAACATGTAATAAAAGATACTCTTTTAAGATATTTTAAGTTTAGTTTGGTTTGACATTTGGTTTAGTCTTAAGTGAAATAGTATTATACAATAACTGATCATTATAAGCTGCCGTGCATGAGCTTGAAGATGCTGCTGTATCACACTTGCTTATAGATACAGCCTAATTCTTCAAATTGGAATGAAAACTTGTCTCATGATAATGGCAGTAATTTATGTCTCTGAACTATTACTTTTGTTATTCAAGTAACATTGGTTTCTAACATTATGTAAGTTTCAGATGCACAACATTGTATTTTGACATCTGTTGTATATATTACCTTTTGATCCCCACTGAAAGTCTGGTTTCCATTCACACCAGGCGCTTACCCTGTTACCTTTTCTGCCCTCCTCCCTATAGCTGTGATTACCAGAGCGGAAGGGGGCAAACTGACTTTAAAACATTTTTTTAATGCCAACTGCATTGTTGATCTGTATATTAAAAAGATAATCATTCTGCCCTACTCAGATTATTTATGCATTTATTGGTAAGTTACAGGTATTTTAAGTGCTCTTGTTTTAAGACGTCTTCTCTAGATCAGTTGGAAAGAACCTGAGAAAAAAATTTTAAAACTTAGGAAATAAGTCTTATAAAAGATTCTGAAGGAGTTTGGGCTTTATTAGCTCTCTGGAAGAATTCTAAGATAACTGAATAGTGACTCTTTTACTTGAACAGTTACTTCAAGGAGAGTATTAATCATTTACTCCCATCTCTGGAGTAAATTTAGAAAAAATTACATTTAAATTTAGCCTCACAACAACAAATACTGGAATCTGCCTAACATATATGTTGCCAAATTAGTAGTGGAAATCATGAATAAATCATAATTCATAAGAGTCAAGTGTACTTGGTACATGACCTGTTGTAACGGGTTTCTGTCATTGTATTCATATATTCATATTCCTAGATTTCTGTGGTTGAGATGAAGCAGAACTCATTCTCTAAATATAGTCAGTTAGCACAGATCCTAGGTTTTTAAGAACTATTTTTATTTTATTTGGTATTAGTGAGTGATTTCTGTATTTAATTTAGTATGAGTGGTTTAAAGGTTAGAATGTTAAAGATATAGACAAGTGATAATTACCCTTGAAGGTAAAGCCAAAAAATTGAATTACCTAGTGAGCTCAATACTGCTTCATTTGCTACTTTAGTCTGTTGTTACATACATTATGCACATCTCATGTTGTGTCATGGCATTATTTCTTATGCAAGATTAATAAACAGTAATAACCAGAACAACAGGGCTGTGTTCCTAGGATTATCAAGAAAGGGAACTGCAGTAGTTGTCTCTTGTTGAATACTTCTTTATAATAGAAACACTTGTGCCTTGGATGGTAGAGATAGACAAGTCTTTGTTTAAAATGATGAGTAGACTATATAAGCTATTAAAATGCATTGCAACTCAACAAGTAACTTATGAATTAGTGTTTTCTATATTGAATTTCATATTGGAGATATTATGGTATAAATTCAGAATATGGACATATTATGGAGAGTCTCTAATAAGCTGTTTTAATCTCACTGGGCCTCATTCCATGATTTAATGTTAGACTTGTTAATTTCCAGCTTCCCTTCCAGTGTTAAATTTTGTGGTCAAAATATTTAAAGAGACAAGACTCTGTCACTTCGAAAGGTAGTACCAGCCTATTTAGATCTTATGCATGTTTGGATTTTAAAATGAGATATACTCCAAACTAAGGTTTTCATATCAATAGAACTGGCTGCATCAGAACTATGTCTGGGACAAGCCCAATTTTTACTAATTGTAAGTAAATAAAATTAATGTTGATTCTATACTATTAAATGTTTTTAATTATAGTTTGATATATTATGTATTATTAGAGGAGTGGGGAAGAGTGTAACTGAGTCTTGCAGTTATTAAAATATTCTCAACCAAATATGGAAGGACCAATACTTTTTTTCAATTTTTTCTTAACTATCACTCCCCTGGATATGCACAGCCTTTAGAATTTCAAATTAAAAAAGCAATTGAGGGCCTCCCCGGTGGCGCAGTGGTTGAGCGCTGGGTTGCGATGCTGGCTGTGGCCTCTGCGGCGCCGGTTCGATCCCCAGCTGCTCCCCGGCCACCAGAGGAGGGTCCCACATGGCGCGCAGACCTCTCCTGCCGCCCGCTGCTCCCCTCAGCAGTGTACTTCGGTCCTTCTGCCTGCTCTGCTTCCCGCTCTGGCTCTGGTGAATTCTCTCACCCTCCCGCGCTTCTGACTGTACCCAGTGCTTGTATAAATAAATCTTTAAAAAAAAAAAAAAAAAAAAAGCAATTGAAACTGTACAGTTTTCTTTGTTTTGATGCTGGACATTAGCAAAGTGTTGAGTGGTCACTTTCTTACTTTGTAGATAACTAAGACTAAGAGATGTTAAGTAATTTGCCAGGGTGTTCCTATTATGATGTGACAAATGGAACTGAATTTCAAATCCAGAGTTAGAATTTAAGACTCAGTTGTGTTTCATTTAAAAACTATTCTTTCCTTTGCTTCTCAAACTTAGTTTTTATTTGGGGATCTTCTGAGTGGCTTTTGAAAAATGATAGATGCCTAATGTACAGCATGGTGACTGAATTTAATAATAAGGTACTGAGTGCTTGAAATTTGTGATAATTGATTTATGATTTTGCTAAGAAAATAGATCTCGAATGTTCTTTTTTTTTTAAATTTTTTTTTTTTAAGATTTATTTATTCTTATACAAGAGCTGGGGTACAGGCCAGAGGCGTGGGAGGGTGAGAGGATTCACTAGAGACAGAGTGGGGAGCAGAACAGGCAGACGACTGAAATACACTGCTGAGGGGAGCAGCGGGTGAAACAGGAGAGGTCTGCCATGCCACGTGAGTTTCTCCCTGGCTTGCTGGGAATCGAACCCGCGCTGCAGTCTGCGGACAGCTTCACGGCACTGCGCTCAACCTGCTGCGCCACCGGGGAGGCCCCATCTCAAATGTTCTAACCACACACACAAAGGTGACTGAGTGATGGGTATGTTAGCTTGGTTGTGGTGATCATTTCATAGTGTGTACATGTAGCAAAACATTATGTACACCTTAAATATATATGGTTGGTTTGTTTTTTTTTTAAAGATTTCTTTATTTACACAAGCACTGGGTCCAGTCAGAAGCGTGGGAGGGTGAGAGAATTCATCAGAGCAAGAGCCGGGAGCAGAACAGGCAGAAGGACCGAGGTACACTGCTGAGGGGAGCAGCGGACGCGGCAGGAGAGGTCTGCATGCCATGTGGGACCCTCTCCCGGTGGCCGCACTGCAGAGGCTGCACTGTAGCCTCACTGCAGAGGCTGCGGGCAGCTTCGCAGCCCAGCGCTCAACTGCTGCGCCACCAGGGAGGCCCAGTAAATATATGGTTTTTATTTGTTAGAGAAAGACAGAATTATAACAGCTTAAATTGTTAAAAAAAGAAAAAAAACTACAGATTCCTGTCTCTCTGATGATCAGTAGATCTTGTAGATTGTTCCAGATACATTTACAGCTCCAGAAGTGATTGTCATGCTCAATCAGAATAACACTTTGTATCAGTGCTTCTGAAACTTCAGGATATAGGCGGATCAGCCAAAGTTCTAGTGAAAATGCAGGTTTTGGCTCAGTGTGTTTGCGACAGGGCCTGAGATTTTGCATTTCTAATGAGCTCCCAGGTGGCATAACTGATGTCTGAGAATAGCAGTGATACATACCTTGTGATATTCCATTTATGATTTGGGGCTGCGGTTCCTGAGGAGACTATGGATTCATTCACATTTCTATAATACATGCCTTAGGGTTTTTACTTGAAGAGCTTTCCTTTGTAAGCATAGCAAGTTATGAAATATTTAAGCTTTAAATCATTCAACTCTGAGACTTTAATCACAGTCTATTAATTGATTTGGTAATAACAGCGTCCAGGTAAACTCCTCTTTAGCTGTGGTCTTGCCAAGTTTCTTTTTTACAGTTACGTGTTTTGTTTGCTTTTAATAGTTTAATGAAAACCCAACCTGGTTGCATCCACCTTTTATTAGTAATTTCCTACAAAAAAGCAAATATTTTAATTCCAATTTTAAATCCTAGTTTTTTGAATAATTTAAAGGAAATGTCAGCAAATCTTTATTTATTTTAGCAAATCTATATTTAAAACATACAATATGTGAAGGAAGAAAAAAGGATTTCACAGTTAAATATTTACCCTTTTCAGGTTCCCCAGCACCACCATTGCCATCTGTTATGTCTCCTAGCAGGGTTGCAGCTAGCCGACTGGCTCAACAAGGAAGTGATTTAATTGTTCCTGCAGGTATTCACTGCACTGGTTGGATAAAGCCCTTCTTGCTACTACTGAAGCTAAACTAATTCACTCAGTTTCATAATCGCTTGCCTTATATTCTTAGGTGTGTGTTTCTGGCTTTTTTGGTGGCTGCTTTTTTTTTTTTTTTTTTTTTTTTTTTTTTTTTTTTTAACAATAAGAGAAATAATCTTTCTAGCCATGCCTGTTTTTCTGGCTTTTCAGAGTTATTAGGCTTTATCTTAAACCTGTAATTTAATTCACAAAGGTTAAAAAACATTGTAAAATTTCAGACATTTTAAAGCATCCTCTCTTTGCTCTGAAAAAAGGCAAGTTCCCTTATTTCATCCTAAACTCTCAGCTTTGCTGCTCTCCCCTCTGTCTTCAGTTAAACAAAAATGGAGCCTTGAGTAACTTAGGTGGTTCATTATTTGGAATGGGCCACTTGGAAAAGGTTGTGTCTTTCTATTTTCAGTCTCACCTAATAAGTAGTTTGCAGATTGCAACAAAATATTATTGACCATTTGCAATGGTCAATGCAAGCTACTTGGGAAAAATCAATTTCTGTGCATTGAATTTCTCTACACCTAAATATTGCTCACTTAAATATAATGGCAGGAAAATAATTGAATTCCAAATATCTTTTTATATGAAATATACTTTGTATTTTGTTTCTATGAAAATTTTGTAAATAGTTAAGTGTGTTTGATTTTTGTACACCATTCTCAATCTTAGATTGTGTGAACTATGATAAAGGTTGGTCTGGTTATAAAAGTAAGTGAGAGAAGATTTTTTTTCCTGAGCCTAGCTTTAAAAACTGTTTTAAAACCCTTTCTCTTTTCTCCTTACCAGTTCTTGTATGCATAAATAATCTTTTTAAAAAATAAATTATAAAGTTTTTACCCTAACTCACTAGTATATAAATACTTTTATGAAAAACACTGTACTGTAGGAACCATATAGCTTTTATGTTATAATTTCATGGTTGTTGGAGCAATATGTTGTCGGGACTTTGAACTGCCTTTATTAATTATGGATTTAGGGGGTCCCTTTAGAAGAAAGGGTATAGGTCTTATTTTAACCCAGCCCTTCATACTGGTGGTAGCATTTTTAATGACTATTGAAATTTGAATTATAGCGCTAAATCCCACAAAATAATAGTTAGTATGCTGTTGTTACTCTATGCCTTGTAGCACAGTGATAGAAGACCACTGAGGGTGCCAGATTTTTACTGGCAGTATTTTTAGGATCATTAGGTTATAAGATTAGTTGTGGAAATTTTTTTCTCTTGAAGTAAATAACATATAGAAAAGAAAGCAGAATTCAGCATCTTTTTCTTTAAGACCAAAGGAGACAAACCACAGGGCATTGTGTCTAATTGACAGAAATAATTTTTATTAACAAATTATCCTCAGTAATCCCAGGAAGCTGTAGTCCTTCACTTTTTGGAACGTTCTTAGTTTTGAAATGCATAAGTTGTTCAATTTGAAGAACATCCAGTTTTGTTTTCTTTCCCTACTTGTCTTGATCTGGTTTGTGTTTTTAACTTTTGTTATGATCACGCAGGTGGCCAGAAAACACAGACAAAAAGTGGACCAGTTATTCTAGCAGATGAAATTAAAAATCCTGCAATGGAAAAGTTAGAACTTGTTAGAAAATGGAGTCTAAACACCTACAAGGTTTGTAATTTACATTTCCACCCTAACTGGCTCTAACAGTTTTCATTCTTATGTTATTCAAATTATTATATTGTAATTATATGAATATATAGGAGAGAATGATGCCATCTAAACAAAATAGAAATAAAAAATGAAGTATTTTGTTTTATTGTAGCTTAAATGTAGTTGAAACAGTAGCAAGAGTGTAAGAAAACTATAAAATGCATTTTAATTGATAGAGAACACTCAGTTGAACTATTGATATATTTCCTTGAAATAAATGCTGTAGAATGGCTATCGATATTTTGTACCCCCTCCCTCTTTTTGACATTTTTATAGCAACTAAATGTCAGAAAATGTCTGATCTTCCTGTAATAACTAAGCATTAACTATATAGACAGCACCAGATTGCAAATGTTGGATTTCAAAAGTTTATTAACATTTTTAAGCACATTGCTTCAGAGTAATTGGTATTTATTTTTCTTATGCCCTCTGTAAAACAAATAAATTAATCTCTGTTTGATGCATTTTGCAAATAGCTCAAGCCCCAAATCCATTTAGTACCTTTAAATCCTAAGAACGACATGACAGAATTTGTGGAATAGTTAAATGGATAAAAGCCCTAGCAGCTCAGGTTGGAGTATTCCTCATTTTGCTTGGGTCTCGTGGTTTGTTAATTAGGAGCTGTCACATTTTTATATAGTGCATGTATGTCTTTCGTATGTTTTCTCAAAAATAATACAGAAGTGGATTTATTCTTTTGGTTAGTACTTTATAAATATTTGGAATCCACTACAAAAATACAGGTTTTCTTAAGATGGTAAAAGTGCCCTGAAACATTCTCACTAGCTTTTCAGAAATTTAGCTTGTGTAAGTGTAGTGTCTGAGAAATGCTGATGTTGTCATCAGAATGTGATCCTGCCCAAACCATTCTCTTCAGGATATTCTGTTTCATCATTGCACTCTGGATAAGGGTTCTTTCATTCCATGTATTGTTCTTTCCTTTGGATTCCCTCCTATCACTGCAGTTTACACAAATATTCAAATTTCTAATCTACCTTCTCACTGATTCCACATATCCAGCCAGTTATTAAATGGATTCTGCTTCTTTAATACTCTGCCTTTATGCCTTTTCTCTGGCCCAGCCTTCATAGCCACTTTATATTTATTTCTCTCACACGGTAGTGTAATAGCTTTTTAACAAACTCTCTTGCACTATGCATTCTGCTCTGCCTAATGTGGTCACTCTTGTTTAAAATCCTTTATTCACTTCCCATATAAATGGTGTGAATCTGACCTCATCATTCCAACTGTTCTTTTCCACCTCTGGAGCCAGTGATCCATACCAAAATACCCAGACAGTTCCTAAATAAACCTTGCTTCCTCTCACCTTTGTAACTTTGTTCATGAGGCTCTGCTTGTCTAAACTGGGATTCCCCTTCATGTTTCCTGTCATTTCACTTGCTTATCTTTCGTTACCATTCACTTGCTTATCTTTCATTTGTTTATTATTTATTCAGCTATGTCTTTGTTCATTTATTCATGAAATTTGCTTCTCACTAATATTCTATATGTTTACATTTTGAACCTAACTAATATAGATCTTAATTCTAAACCAAATCCTAGCAATTACATTTAAACTTCTCTCAATGTGAGCCTTCCTCTCATGTTGTTTAGTTCACATTTTCCATGTTTCTTATATTTTTTACCCTATATTTGTATTTTCTGATCTACTCCTTTTCTTTTGTTTCTCATCTCTAAATAATCTCAGTTGAATTTTTAAGACTTCATGTTTATCCTCATATTAACATCACATTTTTGAAAAGTATATCACATATTTTCTTAATATGTATAACACATTTTTTTTTTTTTTTTTTTTTTTGGTGGGACCCTCGCCGTTGGCCGGGGATCAAACTGGCGCGTGGGCAGCCTCGCAACCCAGCGCTCAACCGCTGCACCACCAGGGGAGGCCCAACACATATTTCTTAATATATATTACGCATATTTCTTAAAGTGTGTGTTAATGAACATGACTGGACTCTGAAGTGTTGTTTGTACACATGGCCCAATAATATGTGAAGGATCTGTCTTTCTTCCCAGAGTAATCTCTTTGCTTTAACTGATACTTTTTTCATCAGAGCTTAAATTGGATAATTCAGTCTAAGTCAAAAGAAAAAAAAGTTCTAACCTACATGATTTTATGGGGTTTGTAACCTAATGTATCTGGGATGACCTAGGTCTCAAATAAAAGAAGCTCAGAGTTATTGACAGTATTGGGTCTACATAACTCTTTATGGTAGCTTTTTGACCTTTTCAGTCCAGATTGTAAGCTAACCATGGATATTCATCATCATCTGTGTAATCCAAGTTTTATTTCTGATATTGTTACTTAGGACTGGTGCTTGTTATCCTTTCAGCTGTTGCGTAGCTTAATTCTGGCTATGACTGATTCTCTCTATAGATGTCGGAATCCAAAAATTGTTCATTTTCTTATTTATCTTATCTGTGGAAATAGTTATAATGAGCTCTGGTTTATCTCCTTTTTATGTTTGTTTTTGTATTTTCTTTTTGTAGAATTGAAGTACATTCATACTTTTTTTTGTATTGATTTATTTTAGGAATAAATTTGGTTTCAGTCTTCAGGACTGTTTGGCATCTTTCCAAAAGCTTTTTAAATGCTTTAAAAAAAAAAATACTTGAGAATTTGCAATCAGTATTCACTCCCTTATCATGTTAATCTGTGTTGTCTTTGAGCCAGTATCATTTAAACATCCATTCCTGTTTTTCTTGTCATATTACCTTACTCATTTACTGGTTGACCTATTTCCCCAGTTCAGTTTTTAATATTTCTTTTTATATTTCTTGCCTATCCTTCACACTTCATAATTCTTTTAATCTCTGTCATTTGTTTCTTTTAACTTTTCCTTGTATTTAAATGTCTATTTTTTGGTATCACAGAAAAAGTTCTTGGCGGTAAACACTCAGAGTATACAGCAACTATCATCATATAAATTCATGAACTTGTATGGTGGTGATTCATGGTGTTTCATACATTATCATTTTATTTCATCTACCTCCCCCAAAATGAGGATTACATAGAACAATAATTTACTTTTGCTACTTCCTTTAACTTTGCTCCATTTGTCCTGTGATCTTTAAAATGAATTCTTAATTCTTAACTGTGGAAAATTGAATAAGACCAGCAGCTTCTTGTAAATTGTCTGCATTCTCAGGGACTTTGAAAAAGGTAGAGAACTGAGATTCTTAATTCTCTTGTATTTTAAACTTCCTTTATAATATATACCAATTTCCTGTTTTGCATGTTAATTTCAGTATATACTAGGAAGCAGTTTAAATTAAAATCTGCTCTTCAGTGATTATGTGAGAAAGTTGCTCTAATGAATGGGGAAACGATTGGTAACTTGTTTTTTGCACTACTGCTTTATCTGCAAAGCTGCACATAGGCTAATCTGTAGTGCTCTTACTCCCAGATTACTTTTGTTTTTCCTTAAGAATGTTGTCTGTACTGGAATATAAACTCTAAAATTAGTTTCAAACTTGTTTTAAGTGTACAGATTAATCTTAATATACCTTATAATAAATATCACCTTACTCTTACTACTGCCGTAGCTTCCTGGAAAGAAAAATCTTTCCTCATTAACCTTCACTCCTACTGTCTAACCTTTATTTCTGTGTGGGGGGGGACGGGGTGGGGGGGAATGGCCACTCAGATAGCAGTAACCATTTCTTTCATGTTGCCCAGTCTCCCGAACAACTTCAGTCAATTCTGACTTCTTGAATTTCCACAGTCTGTTATATTGGGTTCCTGTGGGAAAAATAGGAAAATACTGGTGAAAAAGGGAAAATACAGGTGAAAAGTTGGAATGAGCTTATCGTCTTACCATTTCAGATATTTTTGCTGATATTTTTCTCATTAAAATCATGACACCTAGAATTTAAACTTTTCTTTTGATAGAATTTTTATCTTCTAGGAGTGTTTATATTTTCCACAGTAATATTTTATTACCCTTCTGTGAGTTTGATCTCTTACCTTTCCTATCCTTTTCTAAGAATTTCTTAAAAATAAAAAGAATGCCTTTAATAAAATTATTTAGTCTTAAAGATTCTTGATTAATGAGAATAGAGAACATAACAGTGTATTTCTTTCAACTTACAGAAAACTATATGAATAGCATGTAATATATTAAGAGGTTAAATACAGATTTATGTGTATTGACTCAGAAGCATCACAAGATAAGAAAATGTTGGAAAAGAAATGTTTATGATATTGAGTAGCTCATGTTTGTTTGTTTTTATTAATTTTTAATTATTAATGATTAATTTTTAATTATTAATGATTAATTTTTATTATTAATGATTGATAATTTTATTAATTATGTAAATAATGGTTTTACTCTTTGTTAACATTTTGACAAAGAATTTCTCCCTTCAAGTATGGCCATTGTAGCTCTCCCACCACCAAAGTACCCATAGTCCTCCTAACTATCCGTTGTGTCCCTCTTCCCCCCAGTTGTCATCCATCCCTTATGTTTAATTTAAAAATACTATTTGTGATTATATATTTAAGGGAGGGTTTAGACTACCCATCAAACTACATATAGTAGTCTTGTAACATTTAGTGAAATTAAAAGAAAGAAGAGGAAATTAAACTTTTATTTCATGTACTATTTTAAATGTCACACCAAATTTTAATTATGTGACCAAACTTTGAGAGAATAATTAAAATAGCAAATTTTCAAATTTTGAAAATGGCATTTACTACTTTCAACGAATAAAATGATGAGAAGTCTGTTAGTGCCCTGTATGGGTAGCTTAAAAAATGTATTGTTGGGTGATGAAGTTGCTTATAGTTTTTTGTTTCTAACAAATATTATTAAGAAAGTTTACATCTGTGGGGCCTCCCTGGTGGCGCAAAGGGTTAAACACAGCACTATGAAGCAATCTGCAGCCTCTGCAGCACGAGTTCGATCCCCAGGGGGCCAGGGAGATACCCAAGTGGCACAGCAGACTTCTCCTGGCTCACCTGCTGCTCCCCTCAGCAGTGTATTTCATTCAGTCCACCTGTTATGTTCCCCACTCTGTCTCTGGTGAATCCTCTCACCACCACCTCCTCCCTCCCCCCACGCACCTCTGGCCCGTACCCCAGCTCTTGTATGCATAAATAAATAAATCTTTTTTTAAAAAAAGAAAGTTTACATCTATGTACTTTGAAGTTAGGTACTTAAAAAAAAATTTAAGTGCCTGTATGCTTGTTTCTGGGACAGAATAGAATAACAATAGTATATCTACCTGGGCAAAAGTAAAAGAAGACTTCAAGTATCTTTAGCCAAACAATCTCAGTCTCTCAATCTCATATTGTTTCTCTCTCTCTCTCTCTCTCCCCCCTCTCCTTTCCCCTCTCTCCCCTACCCCTTCCCCTCCCTGATTTCCCTTCACTTTATCTCTCTCATCCCCTTTCCAGCCCCTCTTCTTTCTTCTTTTTCCTTTCTTCCTTCTCTTCATTCATCTACTTACACACATACACACAGTTATTTCAGGGGAAGATAGAGGGATACAGCATTTGAAACTATTAAGAGAGTAGTAGAATTTTGGTGTTCTTATAATTCCTATATTAATAGTGTAGTATTATTTTTAATCAATGCCAAGTATACCTCTCTTGTTTTAAATAATCTGTCCAAGTGCAGTAAGCTTGAAAATGATAATGGAAAGAGCTCATCTGCAGTACATAAATTGGGTAGATAAGCACTAAAGCTTCCCCTGATTAGGGATAGTTACTAGACATACCTGGTAAGTTTGTTTGTGAGTCCAGATGAACTTCTAAGGAGACTGACAGTTCTTAATGTGGTAGACTTATTTGTTTGAAGCCAAAACATATATACCACATGCTCCAGCATTTGTACTTTAGAATCCTGTTTTATTTTTTTCTTCCTAAACAAAATGCAACTTTCTTTCCACTTTCAGTGTACTCGACAAATTATCTCTGAGAAGCTAGGCCGTGGCTCAAGAACCGTGGACCTTGAACTTGAAGCTCAGATTGATATATTAAGAGATAACAAAAAAAAATATGAGAATATTCTAAGACTGGCTCAGACATTGTCAACCCAGCTTTTCCAGATGGTGCATACCCAAAGGCAACTTGGAGATGCCTTCGCTGACCTGAGTTTGAAGTCACTAGAACTCCATGTAAGATTATTTTAAATAACTATTGTGAAGTGAGGGGGAGGAGGCTGGTGACAGAAGTATCTAAGAGGTTATTTATTACAGTTCTGATTGCTAAACTCCTAAGAAATTGAAATTTTGAGGTGTTTTTTTTGAAGATACAAGAGTTTTTGAGAAGGCCGAAGTAATGGTCAGTATAGAGACAATGTCAGCTGGAGGTTTCAGGAGAAGGCAGTTGGTTAAAGGAAAGGAAAAGGAGTTAGTAATCTGTCTGAGCCTAGAGAGAATTGTGGCTATGTACAGTTGGGCATGAGTAAAAAGTAAAATGTAAAATATCTCACCTAGTCTCTTCCATGCCTTGAACAAACTGTATTCGTGATGATACCTTTACTGAAATTATTAATATAAATAATGAATTTTACAATGAAATTATTTTTCTGTGTGTGTTTCTGTGAACATACAGGAAAGGATTTCTAAAAGTTTTTGTAAGATATTTTAAGTGACTCTGTTTATGTCTTTTTTTCTCACCTGGCTTTAAAAGGTGCAGAAATTACTTGCCTACAGACCTCAAACTTGAGTTTGATAATTTTAAGCATTGACTAGCTTCAATAATATCTAGAATTCTTGGACAAAGGGAGTTTATCTCGAGATGGTGGTATGTTATAAGAATGAAAAATAGTGAGATTTGCTTTTTACTGAGTCATTAGACAAATAGAGAAACTATTCTAATATTTGGGAAGATAAGTAATCATAACAATTGCAATTATTGAGTGTCCATAATCTCAGCACAATGGACTTGAGTACTGTATATCCATTGTGTAATTCATCTAACAATACTGCCAGCTCAGTGTTATCCTTGTTTCATCAGTGAAGATGGCGAGGCCAAGAGAGATTAGGTTATTTTAACAGATCACAACACAGAAGTAGAACTGGAATGTGCGTCGATGGCTATGTTTCCCTATGATCTCTTGCTCTCTAAGTGAAATTAAAGGGTCTGTGACCTGGAGAAAACTCCTCACAGAATGGAAAAGAAATGCCGGTGTGTAGGGCATGGGGAGATGTTGCATCTTGTCGTCAGTGCCACGCTTGGTATCCCCTGCGAGTTACAGTCGTTAACACCACTGAGGACTTTTATCATGTGCCAGATACCTGAGTGGTTCGTGTCTATATTAACTCATCTAATGCCCCATCTTAGCCAGGAGGTACTTTTTTTTAATAATCTTTTTTTCTATATGTGAAATCTTTTGTTTTTAATATAGAACTAAGAGATTAATCATCAGTATTCAAGTCCATTGGGCCTCATTTTCATTTTTGAGTCTCTTGTGTGAGCATTTCTAACTTTTTGTTAAGGATTAATATTTCATGACTTTGAGTCTTTCTTAGAGAATATTTACTTATTTTTATAATAGAATAAAACTTACTGTTTTATTTTTACCTTAGTGGTCTTTCCTCTATCTTAAAACATTTTGTTGTTTTGTCATCTTAGGAATTATGTCACCATTACTTATTTAGTTATCTCTAACAGTGTTAAAAATGACTATGATAAAAAGAAAAGAAAAGAATGATGGTATTGTCTTAGAAGGATGATGCAATAGCAAAGGGAATATTTTTTGTTTGTTGCAAAACAAACCTGTAGAAACCATTTCTGTAGTCTTTTTTTTTTTTAATATTCATGCAACATAATTGAGAATTTAGAATTTTTCATTTTCTGCCCATAATGGCAAAGAGAAGACAATACTAGAGGAAGACATTTCATAGTTACTAGACAAATCAGAACAGAACTGCAGAGACACAGCTCTGTAAAGTCTTAAGTTGGCAAAACTGATAATAATATCAGATAATACTCTCAGGCTATGAGTCCTCAGATGATATCATAGATGAATTTTCTTAAATTCAAGACTCAGTGAATAGCCATGTATTTTTCAGAATAGAAAGAAAATGGCATTTTATGGGTCAGGATTCTCTAGAGAAACAGAACCAACAGGATGTGTAGATACATAAACATTGATTTTAAGAAATTAGCCCACTTAGTTGTGTAGCATCAGTACATCCAAAACCTCAGGCGGGCCAGACAGAGATCAGGCCCCACGGAGAATTGCATTTTGAGCCCTTCTTGCTCAGGGAGGTCAGTCTTTGTTTTATTAAGACCTACAGCTGATTGGATGAGGCCCACCCACATTGTGGAGAATAAGCATGTTGAAGTCAATTTTTAAACATCTGCAATATTTATCTGCAAAATTTAATCACATCAGCAAAATCTATACCTTCATAGTGGTTTTTATGGTGTTTGACCAACTGGACAGCATCATCTAGTCATGTGGACACATTAAGTTAACCATCACAGTCAACTCTTTGCCAGCTTAGCACTATACACATCTCCTTAAACCATACTTAACCTCCAGATAAAGTCAGTATATACTTCTCCCTAACATGATATAACTACCCTGCATAGATTGACTTTTTGATTGACTTCACTTTCTTTCTTGATACCCTAGAACTTAAATACTATGATGTAAAATTAATAATACCTAAAAATTATAATATAAAGTTAATATATTACAAAGGGATACAAGGAAGAAAAAAACAAAAATATTTGCTTTATACAGACACACATTCATAACAAAATAAGGATAAAGAAGAAATGCTTAACATTTATAGTGCTCATTTCTACAAATGGTTGTGTGATCATAGCTGGTATTTGTAATTGTCTTCCACTGTTCATTCCATATTGCATGGAATATGCAATTAACCTGCCATGCGTCTTTGCCTGGTGGATAACTCAATTTTTGTTCCTAAAGGTCTAGGCCATCAGTAGTCCTGGCTGTAATGGACTGTTGAAGTTATACATTGCCCTTAATCACAGTACATGGTAGTACTATGCCCTGAGGGGTGGCCTGTACTTCCTTACCTCCATTGTAGAGTAGCCATCCAGTTTTCCCTTGTAATCAGGATCAATCACACCAGCCTGCAAAATAACCCTCTCCTTTGCCTGTTGATTCTTTTATTTTTTTTTAAGATTTATTTATTTTTATACAAGAACTGGGCTATAGGCCAGAGGCATGGAAGGGTGAGAGGATTCACCAGAGACAGAGCGGGGAGCAGAACAGCCAGACGGACTGAAAGCACTGCTGAGGGGAGCAGCGGGCGAGACAGGAGAGGTCTGCTGCGCTATGTGGGGATCTCCCTGGCCGGCTGGAATTGTGCTGCAGAGGCTGCAGACAGCTTCACAGCGCTGTGCTCAACCTGCCGCACCACTGGGGAGGCCCCCTGTTGATTCTTTTTGAGAAAGTTTGTAGAGTGGTGAAGAGCTGGTGTCCACTGCCTCCCGCTGTATGCTGTAGTGGCTAAAATCCCTGGGAGAGGCTTATCATGGCCTGGCAGGAAGTGGCATTGATGGTGTTAATGGTGGTGTGGCATCTGAGAGTTGAAGAATTTCAAGATTAATCCAATTCCTTTATTCTAGAGAGACAACCAATATTCATAAATAAAAATCAAAAACTCAGTCTTCTGTCAGGAATATAAAATGATCTTTTAATGAATCCCTGTCATATTTTATCAATAATGAAGCTGAGACCCACAGACTTTGAGATATTCAGGAAACACACAAATCCAGTCAGTGGCAGAATTGAGGATAAAAACTTACAGTTTGAATTCTGGTTTGAATTCCCAAACTAGACCTTTTATCCTTGACCATTTTATCACATGCTTTGTGGCTACTAGTTATACCATGGCCCCTCATTGATTTGTATTTTCCCAATGTATAGGTCATATCTCCATCAAGATTAGGAAAATTCATACATTCTGTATTACGGTTAATCAATTAGTACTTGTGATTCTAGATTTTAACTGCTTGAGTTATTTAGAATAATATTTGTTGTTAATTAGGAAACAATTTACATTACTAAAACTTGATGTTTTTAGATCCATCAGATGCTTCTATTATTTGTCCCCTAAAGTTTAACAGGAAATTTATGTCTGGTAAATTTATATCTGGTAAATATTGCCAATAATGGAGGAGCTGCTAGGAAGAAAAAAAAATTGAGTGTTTTGAAACTTGGTCCTCTCTTTATAGAGCAAGCAAATTTTTCAATCAGGGAACCGTATTGGCCTTCCTTGTTCTGTGACAATTATGACTAAAGCCCAGTTCTTTTTTTTTTTAAAGATTTATGTATTTATTCATTTATTTGTTTGTTTATTTATTCATTCATTTATTTATACAAGCACTGGGTACAGTCAGAAGTTGTGAGGGTGAGAGAATTCACCAGAGACAGAGCGGAGAGCAGAACAGGCAGACCGACGAAATACACTGCTGAGGGGAGCAGCGGGTGTGGCAGGAGAGGTCTGTGCACCATGTGGGACCCTCGCCAGTGGCGGGGATCGAACCGGCACTGCAGAGGCTGCGGGCAGCTTCGTAGCCCAGCGCTCAACCGCTGAGCCACCAGGGGAGGCCCAACCCAGTTCTTGATGTACATATTCTTTAATTATTTTATGTTTGGTTTATTTGTAATTGCTAAGGCAGTTGATAATAATGCATAAATGCCCCTATCCAACAGAGAATACTGAAATTATTTATCAACTAAGTCAAGTTTAGGGGTCATGTTTTGTCTTCTTTTCAGCATTAAAAAAGCATATTTAATTACATATTTATTTGCAGTTCATGCACAGACATATGTATGTTCATTTCTTTCTAGTGTTCAATTGTGTTTTATCTTTCACTATTATCTCTTACATTTATAGTAAAAGGCTTTTCATTCTTGTCAGTTTTCAGATTATACATCAAGAGCTTAAATTTTGTACACATTTTCTTTTTCTTTTATTTTTTTTAAGATTTATTTATTTATTTATTATTTATACAAGCACTGGGTACAGTCAGAAGCGCGGGAGGGTGAGAGAATTCACCAGAGCCAGAGCGGGGAGCAGAACAGGCAGAAGGACCGAGGTGCACTGCTGAGGGGAGCAGCAGGCAGCAGGAGAGGTCTGCGCGCCATGTGGGACCCTCCTCCGGTGGCCGGGGAGCAGCCCGGGATTGAACCGTCGCTGCAGAGGCTGCGGGCAGCTTCGCAACCCAGCGCTCAACCGCTGCACCACCGGGGAAGCCCTTGTACACATTTTCTTCAGAGTTGTAGGTGAGATTTACATTCATGAAACAGCAGAGCAGTGTCAGCATACTCCTTTCTGCTTTGAATTTAGACCTGTTTTTCTCATTTGTTAATGTAGGCTTCCAAGTTATGCTATTTCTCAGTCTGCTACTATTTCATCTTACTGTAGATTTTTATTTCTTTGTTTTTAGCAAATGAGCAGCCCTGTAAATTGTATAGATCTCCCTGTGGTTGACATTTGCAAAGTTAATAATAATGGAATTTTGGGCCTCCCTGGTGGCGCAAGGGGTTAAGCACCGCACTATGAAGCAACCCACAGCCTCTGAGTTCAATCCCCAGCCGGCCAGAGAGAAACATGGCGAGGCAGACCTCTCCTGTCTCGCCTGCTGCTCCCCTAAGCAGTGTGTTTCAGTTGGTGTGCCTGTTTTGTTCCCCGCTCTGTCTCTGGTGAATCCTCTCACCCCCCTGCATCTCTGGCCTGTACCCCAGCTCTTGTATGCTAAATAATTAAATGTTAAAAAAAATAATGGAATTGTGGATATTCTGAACTCTTAGAAATGAGCAGTGTTACAGGGATGCGATGTAATGATATATACTTGGTTAATACAGTGAGTAGAAAAGGTTTTCTTTTTATGAACTAAAATATTTATATCCATTTCAACTTTCCTATTTATCTTCTTTGTGTTGACTTATTTTACCTTTATCTCTTAATGATACGAAAGTAGTATGTGTTATATGAACTTTTTCTAAAAGCTTTAAGATGTTCTTCCTTCTGTGTTTTTTCTGTTTCCACTAACATTTCTGTAGTCTTTGGCATGTAACTTAGATTATAAAAACTTGGTGCCAGATATCTTTAATGATCCTGCCTTCATTTAGTTTTTACATACACTGCTTGATATTCCATTTATGAGATCCTAAACTCTGCCAATATTTGCCAATCAGGGTCTAAAATTTTGAAAATGGAGTCCGGAGTAGTTATATGAACCTCTCTTAAATGGAAAATGCTTTTAGCATAATAAAGATGATTTTACTTCTGATATTTATTGAATTATTGAGTATTTTACACTTAGAGATTTAATTGCAGGTATAGCACTAGCATTAAATATGTATTTTCCTAAGGTTCTAGTTAATTTAACATTAAATTTCTTTCAACTATAATTAAATAATGTTTTATAACAAACCTCAGAACACATTTTTTTAAAGGTTTATTTGTACAAGAACTGGGGTACAGTTAAGAGGCACGAGAGGATGAGAGAATTCACCAGCGACAGCGGGGAGCAGAACAGGCTGACTGACTGAAATGCACTGCTGAGGGGAGCAGTGGGCAAGACAGGAGAGGTCTGCTGCACCATGTGGGTAGCTCCCTGGCTGGCCAGGAATCGAATCCGGGAGGTAGAGGCTATGGACAGCCTCACAGCGCTGCGCTCAACCCGCTATGCCACCAGGGAGGCCCAGAACTCATATTTAATGACACATCTTACAAATGTTTTATTTGATCATATATGTTCCTGATAGTTAACTATTCAAACGTGAACAAAAAGCTTTCATTGCTGAAAGTTCAGAGTGAGTTCTTGCCATATCTGAAGGAGACATAGAATGCTGGAGAAGTTAAGACTCAGTTTATTCAGAGAGAATGAACTAAAGCAGGTGTTGAGTGATCCTTCCTCAGCTGTGTGCTTAGATAGACTTGAACTTGGTTGTCAGCTGGTCACTAAGTTTACAAAGAAATGTGTATTGTTAATATTTATACTTTGAAGAGATTCCATCAAAACACCAAAAATTGCCATTTGTTTTATGTCTGAAAGTTTTAGCCAATTGTTACCTAATTTGGTTGTGAAAGTTATAGTTTCACTGATTAATAATCTGCTATATTTTTCTTCCTAACAGCTGTGCTTACAGTATAATAGAGACCAAGTTTATAGTACAGAGCAGTTCAACCTTTTAAAATTATTTGATTTTCTGTATATATTTGTGCTAATGACAATTTTAGCCTACTAAACTTTTTTCATTAACTGTACATCTAGTTGTGATTCAGATTCCTATTTATTTAAAGATTGAAAGTGGTATGTTTGAGAATTTTTTTAGTCTCTTTTACTAATTTATTACAAGATAAGTTCAGGTGACTTCTTTGTTTTAGGAAGAATTTGGCTATAATGCAGACACCCAGAAGCTGCTGGCTAAAAATGGAGAAACTCTTCTTGGGGCCATTAATTTTTTCATCGCTAGTGTGAACACTTTGGTGAATAAAACCATTGAAGATACACTAATGACTGTGAAACAGTATGAAAGTGCCAGGTAGGTATACATTTTCACTGTATTGTTCTACAGACAGTAACTCACTTAGTTAAGGGTTTTGGTTGCAAGCAAAAACCCAACTCTGATCAATATGGGTAGAAAAAAGAATCTATTAAAAGATTATGGGATAGCCCACAGAACTAACACAGAGGCATAAGAATAGATTCTAGAGCAGACAAAAACCAAAGCCAGATAATGTCTCAGAAAATTCTAATGGGGACCCCAGGTAACTCTGGTACTTGATGATACTGCCACTACATGAGTTTACCTGATTGAGCACTGATTGTGGGCTTAAACCTTGCCTTCCAGGGAACAGGAGGTAGAGGGTCTCCCAGCTCCAACTTTCTTTAAAGAAATGGTACTTAGTATTCTACCAGGTAGATACTAGATGACCTTGATAATCTAGTCTAAAGTTTTACCTTTTTTCCTTAGTTACTGTTTCCCAGTGTAAGCAGTTATACTGCTTCTGCAACAGCTAGACTCATAGTTTCAATTTCTCTGAAGGTATAAACTCAGTTCTACATCCATGATTTTGTTTATGTTGCGAATACCAACTTCCTGATCGTCCATTTATCCAAATTATAATCAGCCTTCAAGTTATCTCAATTTTACCTTTTATATACATTATTTGCCTTGTATTTTCATAACTGTTTATAATGCAGTGTTTTCATACATTTTATGCACACTCACAGAGCACAATTTCTCTGTCTTATAACCATCCTGTTAGGTAAATAAAGTACATATTTAATAAATACTTATACATGTTTAAAAAGTAGCAGACCCATCATTTTCAACTTTTGATTTCAGGCCCAATTTTTTCCTCATTCATTTTTAATTTCCTTTGGGTTTTTCCCTCTGAACACTTGGACTCCTTATTTTCTGTTATGCTTTTTTATAGCATATTTAAAGATAAGTATAAACTTTACCTTTTAGAAGTATAACTTTACTCTTTTTGGCCTGTTGCCCTAGTTTAATGATGTGAGAAATGCCTATGAAAACTCTAAACTCATCTCATCTTTTTGCAATCGAGTTCTTGTTCTTAAGTATATATTTCTTTATGCCTTGCATAAGTAAAAGCCCAAATCACTTCCAAAGCTAGCTTTTGATCTTTTACGAGAAGAGATACTTCTGCCCTATGCTGCGTCTGTAATTTTCAGGTTAGCATTAACATTTGAGACTCTTACATGACCAAGACAAGTAGCCGCGGTTGTATGGTAGGAGAAGGATGGAAATGGGACTGTGTATCTTCCTTAGGATTTGGATTTGGATTTTTACTTTATTTTTTAGTTATTTACTGATATGGTATTAAAATTAGAAGGTAGAAAAAAGTAAACAGAAGAAATTATCAATAAAATAAAATAAAAACCCTTACCACATCATCAGTAATTGTTTTCTGGTTTCCATTTAAACCCTTTTGTGAAAAATCCGTTTGTGGACGTTAAAGGGTATATTATGTGTATTTTTCATTCTATAAATTTTATTTGGTTCTTTTCCAGAGCTCTCTGTTCCTTATTCATAATGTCCTGATTTGCTCATAATGAATATTTTCCCTTTATCTCCTTAATCATTTTAAGCATTCTTATATTCTGGTCTTTCAGTGTGTTATATTTCCCCCCCCCCTTTCAGATTAATATATATGAAATTTTTAAAGATGAAAATTCTTTTGTTCTGAAATTACCCTCTATCACATTTCAGTTAAAAACTACATGAATTTAGTTTCTGTTTCTCTATTTTGTAATTGTCTGCCTATCCCAAAATACATTTTAGTTACTAAAACATATTTTGGCATGTATTTTAGTCAAAGATATTTTAAAATATAAAATTTATTTCAGTCATGTATTATCTTTTCTCTTTCACCTTTTTCTTACTACCTTTTAAAAATATTAACCTGGGGCCTCCCCTGGTGGCACAGCAGATGAGCGCTGGGCTGCGAGGCTGCCCACAGCTCTGTAGCGCCGGTTGGTTCCCCAGCCACCAGCGAGGGTCCCACAAAAAAAAAAAAAAAAAAATTAACCTGTATCAAACAAAAACAGATTTGTTAGACCATTCTTCACCCACAAAAACTTTTATATTTAATTTGTAAGAGAGAAAAATATGCCTCTAGAGGCTTAATGGATTATCACGTGGAGCCAATTTTAGAGCCATGAGGGAAACCCATGGGCTTCCAACCTGCTGCTTTTGATCAGTAGACCTTAAACTTAAATTGGGTTAATCTCGTATTTTCACATCCAATTATAAAAAAATAACTTCACATCTTATAATTATAAATCTGACTTAAAGTACAGTGTTATATAAGATCTGGACTTCTGCAACGGATAGGTTTGCTAAACATTACCTTCTCAGGCATAACATTCAAAAAGTATCCCTGATTAAAAGTTCTTGGGTAGCTGACCTTTCTTCTTTGTCAAAATCAGAATTTACTGACCCTTAGGGCAGAGGTCATCCATTTGATCAGCACAAAAAAGTGGCAATTTAGGCAAATGTCCGGGTGGCCTTTTAATGCTCCTTATTATGCATTGTGTCCAAGTATTTCCTAGCCCTCCAGTGCTTCATGTATAGAAAATTTTAAAACAGCTCATTCAGCACTTCTCTACAGCAGCACCAAACAAGGGAGTCAGTTGTGGTCAACACTTTTCAGATGCGGACACCTGTTCTTTGGGAGTTCTACATAAGCCATAATGTAGTCAGCTGTCACTAACTTTATCAACATGGACTCAGTTCTGAATGGCATTTTGAAAACTCAGTGTACTTTTCTTCCTGGTGGTAATGAGCACTATTATAGAAACTCTTATGGGAAGTTTTACTTTGATACCATCTGCAAACTCTAAATGTAAAAATTAAGGGATGTGTAGTCTGTATTAAAACTTTGATTGGGCCTCCCCAGTGGTGCAGTGGTTGAGCGCTGGGCTCCGAAGCTGCCCGCAACCTCTGCAGTGCTGGTTTGATCCCCGGCCAGCGGCAAGGGTCCCACATGGCGCGACAGACCTCTCCTGCCGCACCTGCTGCTCCCCTCAGCAGTGTACTTCGTCAGTCTGCCTGTTCTGCTCCCCGCTCTGGCTCTGGTGAATTCTCTCACCCTCCCAAGCTTCTGACTGTACCCAGTGCTTGTATAAATAAATAATCTTTTTTAAAAATAAAAAATAAAACTGATTATGTTGAAATTAATCCCTCTTGTATAGAAATGTGCCCAAAGGCTATGGAAATATATTTGTCTTCATATTAAATCACCACATTACTGCTATTTTTTTGTTTCACTTTTTCCTCTTTCATTTCTTACTGTGTTTAATTTCTTATTGTCTGCTAGTAGCTAGCCCTCTTTTGATTGGCCATAATAATAAGCACTGTAAAGATGCCATTTGTTACCATGTATCCTAACTATTGATATATATGAAGTTTTGGGGATTATTTATACCTATTTATGGATGAAAAACTAAAGTGGAAAGAGATAAAGAATTAGCTCAAGCATCAGAGCCGGTGAAGGACAGAGTGGTCATTCCGTTTGGCTACAAAACCCATGGGATTGAACTCGCTTGCTACCATTACCAAGTCAGTGCTGCCTCCTTAGTCTTACATCTGCCATTGTACTGGTTTACTGAGTTCTCTTTTGCACATAAATTTTCTAATAGGTTTCCCTGCTTCTGATTGCTTAATTTTATACTCCAGTCCATCTTCATTTCCTTACACTACCGCTAGTGTCGTCTTTCTATGCTAAATAAATAGAATCTTGTCATTTTTTTATATAGTGTTCTTCCATGGCTTCCTATCACTTGTCCTGCTGCATTCAACCTGATACCTTTAGCATGGCCATTCAGTCTCTGGTTTAATCTCAGTCCTGCCTTCCTTTCTGACTTCAATTCCTCTGTTAACTGTGCTCTAACTTTAAGTTCTACCATCTAAATTACTACCCACATGTGTCTTGATATCTTAACAAATCTATGCCTTTGTCCATACCGTTCTCTTCTTGGAATGTTTTATCAATTTCCCTGTCCCACTTCACCTAGTAAGTGTAAACATCCTTTAAAATTTAATTCTTCCTCCTGATTCTCGCTATACCTTATCTCCCCCCCTCTCATTTTGATTACATTTTCTCATTTTGTTGTAGTTTCTAAGACTTCCTCTAGACTGTAAGCTTCTTGAGGATAAACTTTATCTGTTCTTCTGGCGCATGCCTGGAACATAGAGGGTGTTCACTGAGTATTTGTTAAGTGAATGAATTTATCAGAGAATGAATTATCTTCTTTTGAACCTGAAAAGATCAAGTTAGTTAAATTAGTATAAGTTGTTAGTAAGTTAGGCGTGGTGTGAGGGACTTGATGTATTTGTTGTTGAACCATATATACAATATAGTTTATGTTAATAGGGTTTAAAATATTCTCAGTTCCCAGAACAGGAGACTTGAATTGCTCTACAGATACTTGAATAAAGACCTATAGTTTTAGAGCTTAGTGATGTTTGTTTTGACTAAATCAGAGGTCACTTTGCTTCTTGTTGGATAAATCACTGTCTAATAAGCAAGATAGTGTTGTCACACACAGGGGTGGTGATAGAAGTTGTATAAGGAGCTACGGAGTTCACTATTTCAGTTAATGGTGGTGGAAGAATTTTAAAAAGAGGCATTGCAAGGAACACACAGTTGGTAAACGCTCTATAATAGATGCCCTTCTCACATTGTAATACTAATGTTACAGAAATCCATCCAGAGCTGCTGTGTCTCTTATGGTAGCCACTAGCCATATGTGTCTGTTGAACACTTAAAATATGGCTATTCTGAATTGTGATGGAAGTGTAAGATACACATTGGATTTCATAGACTCACTGCTAGGTCCAAAGGAAGTAAATTGTAGCTCATGAGCAATTTGTTTACATTGATTACATGTTACAGTGTTAGTATTTTAGATGTGTTGGATAAAATAAAGTGTTATTACCAAAGCGGGAGAAATTAGTTTTTTTGGCTTTCATGTGCCTATTAGAAAAGTTTAACTTGCTGATGTGACTTGCATTATATTTCTGTTGTGTGTTGCTGACCTAGACAACACTTCAGCTCCCCCATTGTGACTTCCTTTTACCAGTCAAATTATGTCATTCTAAAGCCTAGTGTTGCTTCACCAGCAGTAGCCAGTTTGCCTGGGGGGTTGATCGCTACCCTTGATCTTGTTGGCATTAGGTTTTGACACCATGGTTTTAAATTGGTTCTTAACTTTATCAGTTAATACTATATTTTGGGAGGAATAATTAATGAGATTAAGAAGCAACACCCCTCAAGCTTATGTTAATAGCTCTAATAGTTAAAAAAACAACACATGCATGATTTAAAGGATTTAAAAAGCGTAAGAATGAGTATTGTGTGTTAACATATGGTATGAGGCTGTTGTATATTTCCAAGTCACCCCGAGAATGTGTTTCACTGTTTCTGTGGTGTACTTTACCTTCTCTCCTCTTTCCAGAATTGAATATGATGCTTATCGCACTGATTTGGAAGAACTAAATCTAGGACCACGTGACGCAAACACTTTGCCAAAGATCGAGCAGTCACAGCATTTGTTCCAGACACATAAGGAAAAATATGATAAAATGCGCAATGATGTCTCCATAAAATTGAAATTTCTGGAAGAAAATAAGGTAAATGTATTCTTTACCTTTGTCACCCTAAAGAGAGAGAAATAGAATTACGTGTTTTTAGCAGTACACATGGGGATACAGCAAAGTCAAAGAAACAAAATCCCTGTCCTCTTTAGCTTACATTCTCAGCATTAGTATCAGTAGATAATTTTAATCATCACATTTTCTACATGAGTCGATTTGTTTTACTCATCTGATAGTGTATTAGTGTATTAGTTACTTTTATAGAGAAATCAGCTTATGTTTGTATCTGTAGTATTCTCTGCTCATAGCAGTAAATAAATAGCTGTTATCTAGACAGATTAAGCCTCTATTTCAGATACACTGGTAGTGGTCCTGAGGCACTGCACGTGCCAGAGCACTGGAGCGGCTCCATTCAGTAGGACTTAAGCCGTGATGCAAATACTCCGTCCGTGCTTTCCTGTAGCCACTTACCAAGAACGGCTATTGGTCACTTGAAACAATAGTAGTGCAGTGATTCTATTTTAATTCAACACTTAAATATTGTTGAAAGCTTATTTTAATTAAAACTTCAGTAGCCACTTATGACTAGTGTCTGTCATATCGGATAGCCCAACTTCTAAATCTTTAAAATTTTTGATTTGACAAAACTTATTTAATCTCTGTGACCCTAACTTCTGTTCAAAGGAAATAGATATATCTACTTCATATGGTTGCTTTTGAGTAATAGTAATAATGTATAAAGCTCCCAGTAAATGCTTTGACAACAACTTAAGAATTTATTAAGCGATAGCTGCTGGTATTGGGGGTAATGAGTCTTTATTACAATTTTATTGTGGAGAAAACAGGTATAACTTGTTTATTCATTTGTTAAGCAATCCAAAGAAGTATGTGCAAATTATGGGCACAGATAACAAGTTCAGAAGTAGCATGGAAATCTTCAAGATCCACAAAAGTGAGATTTTCAGCCTAACCTTGACAGTTCAAAAGTGTGTCCTGAAAGGCGGAGAGTCTGCTTGGCAGGGAGAATGGCCTGTGTATAAGAATCAAGGACTACGTATGTTTCACAAGTACACTATCAGTGTGGAGCTAAGCTTCCTGTGCCTTAAAGGAACACAGAATCAGAAACGTCATTGGTAGCCAGACTGTACTGCGCCTTGAGCAATTGAATTATGCCCTCAAAGCAGGTGCCCACTGAGCAGTGAAGCAAGAGCCAGGTCATCTCTGCAAATCTTAAATGTCAGTCAGATGGTTCTCACATGCAACTTTTTCTTTTTGTCATTGAAGAATTGTTAAAGTTGGGAGTAACAGAAGAAAAAATGATTTTACAACAGCCTTCGGGCACAGTAATTTAAAAGAAGAAAGTAGAAGCACACAAACCAGTAAGGAACCTTATAGCCAAATGAAATGATTTGAGCCTGGACTAGAATCCTTGTGATAGCAGAAGAAAGAATACAGCGATTTCAAGGCTGCATAACAGGGTTTGGGAAATAATGCAGGCAGCTAGTTTGGCTTAAAAAAGAGGCTAGGGCTGAGTGGGGGAGGATTTCTTCTATTTAACCAGTATTTAGCTTATGATGACGACAAAATACTCACTTATGGGAAGCTAATGGTGTGGATTAGGAGTTTGGATGGACAGGGTCAGGCCTTTAGAGATTAAGGTGTAAAAGTCATTGCTTTGAGAATAACATTATCATTGTCACATCACTTCCCCCTTTTAATCTTTATTACTATACATTTTTTTATAAAGACTGTTGCCTTTTCTCAAGGATTTTATGTTCCTAGATAGCCTAAAGATACTTTTTGTCTTCCTACAGTTGTCATAAAGCGGAATTTAAATTTGAACTCCATAATCATCTGTCTCAACTAAAATCGATTTTAAAACTTTGGTTTTTCAAAATCAATTTTTTTTAAAATCTTCAAAACTGTAAAGAGATAATTTTAGGCAACACATAACTACAATTTGGATGAAAACTGAGATCCATGAGAAAACTTTTCTTGTTACTGAGCAACTTTTACCCTTTTATTTTTAATAGCTTTAACAAAAGGAGGAAAAAGCAAACCTTTCAGTCTAAGAGCTTTCTGTCACTGCTGTTTGCTTTCTTAGAAGTTTGAAATACCTCAAATCTGGGTTTCTTACTCTTTTGTTAAACTGCAGCTGAATTTGTATTTTAATATCTCTGTTATATGCGGTTGTTGTCAGGTGACATACTGAACACTTGAATTTTAATTTAACAATATATACTCTTCCTATTAAATATGGTATATTGAGTGTGTTTTAAAAACACACTATGAAGAACATCTGTGAGTGTGCTATTTTTACTTTGTAATCTGGTGATGTCCTGAGGTTATTGCCTTTATTTTTTTCAGCTGGGTTGGGTATTTTTTTTGTTTTGATTTGGCTTTCTGTTCTCATGTCATGGCTTTTGGAGTATCTTCCTATAGTAACATATCTCTTCTAAAATGAGTGGCCAGGTAACCAAACATCTAGAATAGTGCACACAGTAAAAGCAAATAGTCGTTGAGTAAAGGCCAAAATCCTAATAAATTCTAGTGGTCAAACATTGTGAGAATGTTTTTGTTTCATTCTTAAAACTTAAAAAAAAAATTTTCATAGGAATTGTGACATGGATTCTTAGCTATATTTTAGAAAATAGGTGTTTACATACACTTAGTCTGCCTTCCTTCTCTGGTAAAACAAAGGGAATAGTTGTGTAAAATAGACACATTACTGTGTATACGTGTGTATTAATACTTAGTGATAAATCTACATTGTCATTTATCCATAATGGAAAAACGTGAACTCTTCCATTATGTATAATCTGTACTGTCTACCCGTGCCATGATATATTGTGTTTATCTTTAACCTCAACAACCCTTATTAACCTCTGTTTTCTCTTCCTTGTTTACTGAACAACACGGCACTGCGTAGCTGATAGGGCAGTCATTTCTCTTTAATGTTTCTTCTTTCACAAATATTTCTCCTTTTCTAGACCTTTAAATAATGTAAGGAGCTCTTTTGTGGCGTAAGGCAGTTTATTTACCTTTTCTTCCTTCTCAGGCTGAAAACAAGACTACTTTTGTAAAGAGAAAGAAAATAGACATTTCTGGTGCCCTGTTGACTTGTGAGAATAGGTCTGGTGCCTTCTTTCACAGCCCTCCTGGAGCCTGGCACTGCTGTTGAATGTAACGCGGTGATTTAGCCAGTGTGTTTGCACTTTTCACAGAACATGAGGTGTGCTGCTCTGCTGCGGGGAAGCGAGGGAGAAGGAAGTGGATGAGGATCAGCTTGGATAGGCTGGGAGGGTGAATCCCAGTTACCTCACTGTTTGCTGCAGGGAAGGCAAAGCATACACTCTCAGAAATCCTTTATTGTCTGCAGTGTACCATTAGCATGGAAAGAGGAAGCAAAACTTAGGGAAAAATAGAGAAATCAATCTGAGTAACCCATTTAAAAAAAAAAAAAACTTTATATGACTCGCAGCCACATAGAACATGGGAAAATAATTTAAAATTAATTATTTCCCTTAAGAGAACTATAACTTGAGAGTAGTAAATCTCCTTTCAAGACCCCTCACATATTAGAGGGGAGAAGACCCTGAATGTTTTGAAAGTGTCAAAGTAGGTTAGGATATAAATAAAAAGGATCCCATTAATTTTATTATGTTTTTATATTTTAAGAAAGATATGCTCTTTACAGTAATGTCAGTTAATTAGCTATAGCCATCAAATAAGGGTTTTTCCCCGTCATTGTGTGTCAGAGACTGACAAGATGCTAAGTGGTACCAAAACAAAGATGAATTGAACTCAGGATCTACCCTGGACGCATATTTGATTATTAATACAGCTACTTCATTAAAACAGAAAAATTTGTCTTAAAAATCACAGTCATTCTGAACTTTAGGTTAATGAAAAAACTGTTGTTTTTATTGACAGTGTGTTTCATATATAATCATGATACAAAAATATCCCTGTATGTTAGGGTTTCTTTTCTAATATATTACCCGATATATTATTTCTTCTCTAATGCATTCGGTTTATTTTATATGTATCTTATGAATTTAACTTTTCAAAGAAAAAAAAAAAAATCCAGTGAACTAAAGTGATGAGGCAGTGGAAAGGGGCGTGGACAGGGAATAAAAAGCCTAGAAGGAAATAAACGTACTCATGTGATGTGTAGTTGTATGGCTTTAAGACGATGCCTGTGGTAATAGGACAGAGAGTCTAGTATATTTTTATTAAAATATGCTATCATATTTTGGTATGTCTTATGAGATTGTGTTCTTAATCTTTTTTTTAAAAAGTTAATTTTTTAGCTAATTCTTGAGATCAGGGATGGAATAGGGATGTATAACTATAGAGTGGATAAAGGAAGGAAAGTATTGGTGAAATGTCCTCATTTTTCTACTCCCTAAATCATTCTGTGTCATTCCTGGGATCTTTCTGCCCCTGAGTGTACAGAGTCCTGGACAGAAATGAGTACAGGCACAGACCTGTGGACGGACTTATGATTTTATGGAAGTGCTCTGAAGCCCATTGTCGCGTGACTTCACCTGTTTGGTGAATGACAGTCTCCATCTTCTTTGGAAATCAATCTTTATATCTCTCACCTCATTGATGAAAGGAAATACCCAATACTTTAATTTCTGTACCTAAATTAAGAGTAGGAGCTCAGATGCTAATTTGAATGGTATATGCCATTTAATGTTTCCTCTAGCAACTTGAAAGTTTCTTCTTTCCTTAAATATCACTGTAGTACTCTGGGCTTTCTCCGACTAAATCATATATCACACGGTATTGTGAATGCCTAGAGGTAAGTTCCATGGGTGCATCTGTAGAGCCTTCCCTTCCTTCAGTAAATGAGTTGATGAACACCAGTCTTTAACCTGTAAACAGAGGTAGCTCTGTCTAAGGATTTTGTATGTCTATCTATGATCATAAAGTATACAGATATACATATGTATGTCTATGTATGTATATCACATATGTATATACATATGTATATCACATCAGTCTACCAATGCTGCTGCTGAGGTTCA